GAGCGTTTGGCCATCTTTAGATGTCTCCATTCTCTTATCATACGCAAGAACGATTTGTATTGATCCTAGGTGGCAAAAATTAAATTAAATAGAAAACATCGTCTTTCGCAGCTAACCTTGGTATCCCCTAAACCCGCATTATTGGTCAATTTCTCCAGTCCAGCGTAGAAGTCGTACGTTGTCACCTTTCCTTGCAGAGTAAGGACATGGAAGGTGTTCAAGACTTGGTACGTTGCCGCAGTTCGAGGGTCTATGTGAGTAGCAGGGAACCAACGGCGGCGCAGTAGTTGCTGCCGCCATTCGCCCGCAGCACGCCGTCCAGGGCAATCGCAATAAGCCAGAAGCACACTGTGGATTCCATTGGTGTGAATCACAGTAAAACCGTCGATAAATCTGGGATTGCCACAACGTTCCAATGCCCAATGACCTAGTTGAACGAATATTCCAAGGTCACGGAGCCGAATTTGTTCGAAGAACATCCCATTCCATTTCTGCTATTAAATCAATATCAATATAGCCCATTTTTGAATATTACTAACCTCTACGTTGTCCAAAGGTCTATCCATGTGAAGCTCGCGACAGCATTTAGCGCATACGAGATCTTCCGCAAAACAATCTAGACACCTGTACAGTGGAGCTCCTTCACTGCAGCGATAGCACAGCTCAATGTCACTGTCTCCCCTCCCTTCATTGCGAATCATCTCCGCGAGATATTCATTGGCAAAAGGTCTCCATTCAAGCAAAGGTTGGTCCTGCGGAAAAATAACATAATTTTGTCCGAGTCAAAACAAAATCAAACGGAAGCACTTACAGACATCAGGTATCTCCTTCGACTCCGTGTCCCCGTAGCTGCAGCGATGAGTGTCTGGACGTCCGGAATTCCCCGGGAGTCGGGGACCAATTGAAACCCCTGGTCACTGAAATCACGAAGGATCCCTAGCAGAGTTTCGCTCAAGTCACTGTCAGAGTGCTCCTTGGAAACAAGCAAACGGCCCCCGGCAAGTCCCTCGTGCCTTCTCTTTATAGGTGATAGGTCGCTGACATCCAAGGGGCGTTTATTGACCCGACGCCCGTCTTTCGACAACTCGTCAATCTCCAAAATGATGCGTGCTTCCTCCCTCACGGAGGATGCAAGGTCTGGGAAATCTAGCTTTAGAGCCTTTGGCTTTGCAGCATTGAAGATTAATGAACCAGCAGATGTTGACTGCTTCGCGCGAGCTGAGGAAGAAGTAGATGATACTGGGGAGCCTGTTGCTGCTGAGGAATTTCCTCCGGACCTGGCTTTGGAAGGTCGATGGGTCAATGGGGTGGATACGGAGGGTTTAACCAAATCCTCAAGGCTGATTTTTTGAATCTTGACCATGTTTGGCATCGAAATAAGTGAACTGAATGGAATGCAAAAAGTAAACGTAAATAGCGCGTGACGCCATTTGTGCCACGTGAATCATAATGATTCACGTTCTGTTGATTCTTCTTCCGAACTTTCACCTTCACTTGAACTCAACCAGGCCTTGGGCCACACCAACTTGTTGCCTCTCTTCCTGGTTTCTGTATCCATAGTGGTCCCGTAATAACAATCGTCCGCTCAAGGTAAGTTTCGTTGTTCTTCACTTTTTTTTTGAGCAACCAGCCTTCCTCTCGCCTGAGATTCCGTCTATGCCAAGCTGTTTATTTGCTGCCGTCTCTGGCGGTGAAGAAAGCTTTACGGTAACAAGTCGAACATAGGCATTGCTGAGCCATGGCTCTCATTCCTTCTTCACTGGTTTTTTGTCCTACCCCTATTCTACGCTAATTACCACCTTTTTTAGACTATGGGGCCTCCTAATTCCTCTCGCCACATCAAGGTCACATTCCAGAAGGCGGTTATCTTGAATATAGACCTTGAATCACTTTTCCAAGCTCACAAGGAGAGGGGGTATGAATCCGACGATTCAACAGCGCCACGCTCAGAGAAAGACTTGTGCGCAGAGGAGTTGGAGGATTTAGATGACGAAATTACTGGCAATGGGATGCATGGAATATATTTCGAGGGCGATCTGCCTGAACTCACTGATTCCGAATCTGACTCATCCTCCCTTGATCACGAACGTACCGGTATAGATAGTCTTAAACGCAAATCAGTTGATCACAAAACACTTCAGAAGCAAGCGTATAAAAAACATCGACGCCTTGAGAAACGCACAAAAGCCAGGGGCAGTGAGCCTTACAGTAAATCAATCGGCGAGCGTCACTGCAACGAGGCTGAGGTCATAACTCTTGACTACGATGCGGCTACCATGCCAGTGTTGAGTACTGGCTGGCAGGGAGTCCGGAAAACTGGATTTGAAGAGTATGCCGGACTGTCATGCGAGGAAATCTTTGGGCTTCCCTGGATGCGCTACCTGGACTGGGACGGGTCGTGAGTTTTCGACTTTTCATCCATCACTGTTATACATTGACGCGTGCGATTGTTTGTTTTCCTTTTTTCCCTAATCAGGCATAACGTCGTTCTCTGCGATAGGTCCAGACGTGGGATGGTTCACCTCATTGGCGCTCCTCACAATCCCAACTGGCCAAAGGTTCACGCAGAAGCTGCACTGGTAATTGAGAAAGGTAGGGTCTCTTGCAACTTCCGCCCAGACCAGTTGGACCATAGTCGGGGGAACTTTGCAGCGGAGGCCATTGGTTATTCACATGGCGGCGGACAGGTACCTTTCCTCTTACTTTTGCTATCCCATGATATTAATCTAACCCCATAGGTGGAACCTTCCAACACACAACACAGCATACGCAATTTCAGGGTCCTGACTTCCATCCTCGCCAATCCTGCAGTCCAACGCCTCTCCGGCATTGCGAACGCCTCTTACAAGCGATACTGCCCCAGCATGTATCAGGAATTCAAGGAAAACGATGAGGCTTTGCGCCGTTGGAAACCTTCTCTCCGGCGGAACTTTGATAAATCGGTTTTCGCGGCGACTACTATCAATTTCGGACCACAATCCATCACAGATATTCATATTGATTCCCACAACCGAGCTCCTGCCAGCTGTGCTGTTACTTCTTTGGGGCCATTCAATAGCACATGCAGTGGCGAATTAGTCTTGTGGAACTTGGGGTTGATTGTTCGTTTCCCTCCAGGTTGTACAATTCTCCTCCCTTCTGCCCTGATCGTACATTCAAATCTTCCCATTCAGCCCGGTGGAAACCGGTACTCGATAACCCAGTATTCTGCTGCCGCGCTGTCCCGCTTTGTGGAGAATGGCTTCCGCAACGACGTTGATATTTTGGATGGAATGGATCCCAAAGCAAAAGAGGCATTAGTAGCGGCGCGCAGAACCCGATGGAAAAAAGCGTTGCATGGTTATCGTGTGTGGTAGTTTTTGTTTCCTCAATCTGATTGTACATATACCTTCCCAAGTGAAATATGATACGTTTACGATTGAATTCAAGAAGTGCTTAAGTATAATAAACACTGAAATTACATGAATGAACACAGTTATGAATGAACACGAGCTAAGACAGAGTACAGCCTAGAGGTAGCCCCGCACCCTCCTCAGCGCTATCTTCGGGATAATATTGAATCCGATGCATCCTAGGGTGAAGTGTGTGAGTCAAGGTTTGTGGACTGGTGGCATAAAACATACCGTTCCTCTTGAGTATCAGTCCTGACAGCAATGGACCTAAGGTAGTGACTCAATTCAACCTGAATAACCCTCAACTCCTGCGGGTTCCATTGAGAAATTGAGTTCGAGGTGGACAATGCATGTATGAGGGCTAAGCGTTGTATCCTGGCTTCGTAGAGCTGTATCTCAACGCGCTCCGAAGCGTATGTAGCCCAAATTCTTTCGACATTTTCCCCGTCGATTTGTCCTTGCAACTGGTAGGGGCACGGCAATTGATGGGCATGGCAGTTCAGTCCGTGCAATACCAATTGGCACTCCCTTTCCCTCCCTGACCCCTCTTCTGTTGCAGTCGGCGAATTCATAGCTTTTCCTGGAAGACGTTGAATACTACACTGGGTCTTGAGTACTGAATGACATGCGGCAAGAAAAATAAACCACCTACAGCTGGAGAATGTCGGGCATTCACTTGAGATTTGGGTGGTGATCAAGAAGAGAAATTGAACGGAGAGAAAATTTCACCCATCATACATTTCTCAGACTAACCGGAGGCCGCTATCAGGAAATGAAATGTTATAATCTGATTGCAGTACAGTTCTGAGTTTTTAAACCAATAACGAAGGTATACACAAATTAGAATACGCTAATTGTTCCTGCATTGGCGCAAGGTCTGCTCCAAGAGAAAAATCTCAGCTTGGGCCCGCAGCTCAAGATGTCGCCGCATGTCAGCTTCGTAGGTAGCCTGTGGCTATTTGCGTGGACCCTCTCTGAGTTCAATTTCAATAATCAGCAACAACGGATACTGAAAGTGCCCATAGAAACCTACCTGGTCTTGTCACCATTGAGCTCTCGCTCTGCCGCAAGCTCACGCTGTCTGGCTTTGGTTCGAGCGCGGGCACGCTCTCGCTCTCTTGTCTCCCAAATATTTATTGCCTTTGCATGAGCTGTCTCGCGCAACTTTTCCTGGAATTGAAGGGTCAAGGAATGCCCACAACTAGAAGCTTCATCGCACAGAGCTGAGCTACAACAGGAATCAGCTTGTGAGGTTTTAAAAAATAAACTGTACATACTATACTCTGGCTTCAATAGAAATCAACTCCGGCGCGATTTCTCTATGTCGTTTCTCTCGCTCTTCTGCTAAGCAATTCACAATATGATCGACATCTTCAAATTCGGTTTCGAGGGCAGCAGTGAGAGAGTCGCGTTCAGCTGAGCCAGTGATCTCTAGGCTGCACCAGTAGTCGAGGTAGCCTGCCATGGCAAATTCAAAGCAGTCGTGGATGAAGAGTGGCAGAGATCTTACATGAGGAAGATCTAATATAATCCAATAAAAAAATCAAACATTTTTGATAAGTACATAAAATTAAATAGGAAAAACGTAACCAAAAAGTCTATAAGTGATGGCCCCACTCGGAATTGAACCGAGCCCCTCCAGGTAAGCACAAGTCTATACATGCATGATTACCTGGTGCTCAACCTTTGAGCCATGAGGCCTTGATCAGTGGGTACAAAAACTGCGCCATGTGAGTATAATGACATTGTGGCCTGGGCGCCGATGTCCCGTTACGCTAAGGGTTATCAATAAGTACTAATCAACCTCCTCAGTCTCGGAGTCCAACGCTTCCTCTTCATGATCCATTGCTACAAGTAGTGTAGTGTAAAGCCTGCAAATAAAATTTGTTTAGATACTTGCAGCTAAGAATGTTGATGAGCACTTACCTGTCCATGCGTTGCATTGCCGATGTAACCTGTTGAGCATTCTCCTGCACCGCTTGATGTCTCCTCCACAAGTCTGGACGTTGCTCACGAACATAGAGGAAAACGTTATCTCAATGTCCAGCACGTAAAATTCGGAGAATGAGAGTATCCCTGTATGATCCCGGGCTAATGCCTTCAATGATGCATTGGGAGGGAGTGAGAACTGGGCAATCTGCAAGGTACAGAAGAGTGTCGCTCTCCAGGTACCTTGCGATGGACTGGCAAGAAATATCATATGAACTGGTATGACTAGTCGACATAACAGGGTGCGAGTCCATGTCGGCATGACTGTAGGGAGAGTATATTAGGTTTTTTAAAAATAAGTAAAACCTTCGACACTCTACGCACCGTTCACCTTTTTGAAAGTTGACTGTGGAAGAAGTTTGATTGATCTTGGGGGAGAAGGTTTGAGAACGATGGCGAATATCCGAGTCGGCTTGGGGGGAACTGGGAGACAAAAATTGGTAAGTAGACTAGACAGAAATATTGAAGAGATATGCCTACGTCGTCAACGAGCTATTTTTCTCCATGATGGTCGAATGAAAAACTTGTGCGATGGGTGAGATGAAGACTAGTCTAGTCCATTTGTTTGATTTCTTCTTAAATGATTCCAACCAGGGGCGCATTCGGACTTTTCACCCGCTCGGCAGCTCCCAGACTCAGCTTTCATAAGCAAAATAATACTATGTCATTTAGTATGGTATAATTCCTAATCGTAGCCATGCTGTGGTGTGAGGAACAGGTGCCATACCTTACGCCTGAAGAATGGAGAACAAATCCTTCTAACTGTATGTGCGCGTCTGGAATGCTTGCGAATTGAAATCTTTATCCATTTTTCATTATCTGACACGGCTATGGTGAGGGGATAGATAGAACGATAGATGCAAAAGAGAAAGTTGTAGGCGCCTGTCGTGACATTCATAGCGCTTAATCAAAAGTCCTCGGTTTCCGGCTTACGGCTCACTGATTTTCAAGGTGTTTGGTGAATATTAACGCACTCAACAATGAGTTCAAAAAACAATTTATACTACCAGAATCGGAATGAAATCCGCTTGAAAAAGGGTGCAGACAACTTGGGATTGAAAAGGTCAAGCGGAACACTAATTTTACGAAAGGCCAACTAGGATATTATCTCGAACTTCCATGGCCCGATGCAAGAAATACGGTTCTGCAGCCGCAAAGAAGGAAGCCAATCATCTCAAGAGTCTGGCACATTACCATCGGTAGCTCTAATACATTGTACTTTTCTTATTCTCATCTCACTATCATAGAAACAACAATAAAATCAATGAGAAGCGAAGAGTTGAACACGAAATAGTGGATAATTGGTAAAAGTTTCATTATTACTATGCTATGTACAATATCACTGACATCCAATATGTGACTAGTATATTATACTTGCGCCGTCCCAAACAGGCGAAAAAACCCTACACGATGGGAGGTCAAGACGTTAAGCCGTGCGTTTTGCAATCCCGAGCGTAGAATTCACTATTCGTGTTCTGAAATTTACCTTTTAGTTTGTCCCTGCCTGAGAAGAAACCTCTCAGTTATCACATGAACTCGCTCAAAAAGCTCAATGTTGCGGTTTATAGCATATTTTCAGCTGCAGGAGATAATCCGAAAACGTACCACAAGTATGTCGCCATGCTGTTCAAGGACTTAATGGCTGAGCTTGACCGCGGAGGCACATTCCACTATCTGGATCCTTTCCTTCCACCTTTGACGAACCTGGAACGGGAGCTAGACGGTGTTTGGGATTGTGTTCTTAATCTTGCAGGACCTACCAGTGAGGAGCTTGCGCAAGTGGGTGATTTACAGTGCATGCTTCGTTCGGCTGTCCTTGCAATTGAAGAAATTCAGATGCGATGTCTTCAGCATGGAAAGGAGGAGCTGGAATGGCGCTATAGAAACCACTTGTTCCGTTTTCAAAGTCCAGGACGTCGACAAGAGTTCTTGTAATTACAGATGTTTCTTTTTCCAGAATCGATGGGTTGATCCGGAATTGCCTTTGACAATTCAATTGATCAGTAATAAAACCTACATATGTATCTGGACCAGTTATCATGCCCGACATCACGGAGAGTTATCTTGCTTCCCTGAAACCGCCGGTTGCGAGCCACAGAGTCTTACCGAGTCCATGGACCACGAGGTTTCCACCGAACAAAACAAATGACAATGATCGCGTTGTAAAGGTAAGAATAAGTCGAGCACAAACAGCACTACATGGAGCGTCTCTATGTTGATAGACTGAGGCGATTGAACCACTCGAGAGCCTCGTCGAAGCTCGAGATCTCGCGCATATCTACCTCACGTCTGTCACCTACGGCTTCATCGAACAGCCTACTTGCTTGCATCCTAAGTATATGATTATGAGAAAAATGAATTTGAAAGATGTAAGTATAAAAGAAATACATACGTAGAGACCACACCATTAAAATCCGTAGAAGAGACGGCCCAGTGACGTGGGGCATGTGATGTAGACGTTGAAGTGCAATAGCAATGTTTGGAAGGAGATGCAGGTGAAGAAGGGCGGACCGCGGGCCTACGAGGAGTGGATGGACGAGAGGAACTAGCAGCCCTGGCCAAAAAAACAATGTTATGTTGGGAGGGTGGTGGGACAGCAGCCTCGGGAACGTTCGATGTTGTTTCGGGGTGAAAGAGTGTTCCATCGACGAAATCGGCGGGATGATGATGGTAGCTCCGACAATTTTGGCGCCAACCATCCAACGCCTCCTCCCAGGTGTCGTAGGCCTTGTACCGATTGCCTTTGACCCGAGAAACTCGACCACTGGCATCGGACCTAGTATACAACATCTGAGGATCATTCTGCCGCTAAAAAACAGAAGATACTTACCAGTCCCTGAAGCACCCACATTGATCTCCAGAATAAACGTTATAAAAGCGTCGTTTGTCCTTGACAGAGGGATTGGGGGTTACAGAGTCGAAAACAGGGGGGAAACAAGTAGCGGTGTCCATAGGAGGGAGAGATGAAGTTATAGAAGACGGGGAGGAGGGAATGTCGTCTTCCGAGTCCAATAGCGAGCAGATGGTAGTCATAACATAAGATAAGGAAATTGATCAAAAACAAAATCTGTGGGCGCTAAAAGCATGATGGAGATCATTGACTTGCAAAATCACTGATATACTTCTTGTATACTTCGTTTTCAATTGACTTGTCCAATGACTGAAAGCAAATCAACTGTCACTCCTGCTACACTTTCCTCTGCTATGGATTCTCCTCGCAAAAGTCAGGCTCCTTTCGAAAATCAAAACCCTCCCCATGGATCCGAGTCCTCTGGCCCAGAGTCGCGTCCGAGTGCTGATGGCAACGAGGCCATACACACTGAAGATACGGCTGAGGCTTCTGCTGCTGCCCCTAAATCGAATCACACAGGGAAAAGGAATAAAGCGCACGCGGAAGCCTCAGGTCCAGACTCGGACAACAATACTGGGTCTGTACGTCAACCGAACGCTAAGAAGAAGAAGAGGAATAAGGGCGGCAAGCGGGGGAACCAAGGAGTCTTTCTTGGAGAGCACCTAAAGTTCCTCCAGTCTCACGCAGCGAAATATGTGGAGCTGGGAACTCGATTGCAGAAGATGGAGTGGCCCGTTAGTTTCAGAGAAACATGGTTCAAAAAGTTTCCCTGGCACTTGAGCGAACAGCCCGCCGAGTTCGCTGCTCTCTATTCCAGCGAACCAACCATCGGCGAGGGGGAGCCAACTCCACCAGCTCCGATTTCCGAGGAGGCGCGTCAGGAGCTACTGAGACGCAAAAAGGCTGCCAAGGATGCGATACAGGCAGAGGGCCAAGAGGTGCGTGTTATTCATTATAAAATGCTCTTTCACCTCATATATTGGTTGTATTTTAGCAATTAAAAGGTTGGTTTCATTGTCTAACGGCAAAGACGAAATCTGCGGCAGGAGCAGGAGGTTCGGAGGCGTTCAAAGGTATAAAAAATCAGATGCTCAAAACGTCGAAGGGGCCGCCTCGAGGAATGCCAGATTTCAAGTTCTGGATGTCGCATCCACTCTACAAGGACAAGTTCAACGCAATTTACGAAAAGGCCAGAACGTTGAATCCTCCGGACGAGAAGGATAGGATCAAATTCCAATGCACAGTAGCCGAGGAAACCTACGAGCTCGAACCGGAGGAGGTGAAGGAGGCCATCGCAATTGAGAACGCGGAAAACCGCAGCGCAAAGTTTGCGGCGTTTAAGAAGCTGATGAGTGGAAGGTTTACGCTGGAAGGAGCGGATGAACTTGACCAGGAGTCGAAAGAACTGTGAGGTTTTTCCATTCGAGCTTGGCTTACTGATTGTCTGACTGAAATTACTGTAATAGGTGCATTAAGAATTTTACTAAATTCGTGCAGCCTCTTGTGGATGCTATTCGGGCACACACTGGCCTCTGGATAACATTGCTCGCTGGGGCCCCACCAGAGAATCCGGAAGTGGACAAGTGCCATACGTTCCTGATGTGAGTGATTGGTCGGACTACACTATCTTGATGTTGATAACTTGATTTGAATCTAGGGTGAGCTCTGGAACGGCTGAGGGCTGTAAGTTTCATCAATGGCACCTGGATGACTACCTGCCCGTCTTGGCCCAATGGCTGCGGTTTTTAGATGCTACGAAATTGAACGGAAAAGGTGAGGATCTTGTCCCCTATTTTGGCTTATTATCATGACATTGGATTCGATCCAAAGATACGACGGTTTCCGGAGGCCTCATGCAAAA